CCCCGGCTCTGCCTTGGCCTCCTCCATGCCCTGGGCTCTCCTTGGTGGGCTCTGCCGGGGGCTGCTGCTGTTCCAGCCACCTGTGGAGGAACAGATGCAGAGAAATGTGAATTGTCCCCGGGCTCAGCATCCCCAGCAGGGCAGGCAGGCACTGTGAGTGCTGAGGGGTTTGCACATGGAAAATCTGAGCTGGTGCTGCTTAAAGAGAAAGGGACTTTAAACCCAAATGATGCTCTGGAAATGTGGAAGAGACTTTAAACAAATGCTGAGAGAATAGGAATGATGAGACACAAATGTCTTGATTCTCTCTTGAGAGCAGTGATAAGTGCCAGCAACACATGCTGCTGGTGATGGCAGCAGCCACAGCCATGGCAACCCTGCCTCGAAAAGGGTTCAACACAATCTGAGCCAACAGGACGTAGCAGTGATGGCAGAACTGGCACTGTCCTTTGGGGCAGCAGCTCTGGGTGCCTGTGCAGGGACCCCACAGCTCCCTGAGCCCCCTCCTGCTCTGGGCATTGCTCTCAGTCCATCTCCACGTGGGTTTTACCCCAGAAATGTGAGAGATGCCTGCCCACACAGGGCACAAGGAGCAGGGAAAGAGCCCTGAGCATCTGCAAGAGCCCTTGGCAGAGGAGGGGTGTGAGCCCCAGGACACACAGGGGGGGATGTGACCCCCCAGGACACCCTTGTGTGAGCTGTGATCCTCAGGACACACAGGGGTGAGCTGTGACCCACAGGGCTGGGTGTGACCCCCAGGACATGCAGGGGTGACCCACAGCTGCTGCAGGGCCGTGCTGGGCTGCAGACACGTTTCTGCTGCTGTTACCTAAGCATGACTCAGTTATCTTGTTTTCATTGACGACACCTCTGTGCGAATGGAAACTGCCTCTTCCCTCAGCAATTAGCCACCCTGTCCTAAATAAATGCTCTGCTCTTTGCTTATTTTTAACCCTGTAAAGAGGTTTCCTGCTTTCCGTGACGTGCTTGGTGCTATTTCTGTTCCCCGGCTCCTAAATCTATTAAGAAGGGGAATGCCTGCAAATTGTTTGGAAATCTCCTTAGAGCCTCTGAGGGGAATCACCAGCTCCCTGCAGGTTCACCACCTCTTTCTGTCTCTCATTTCTCCAGTGGACCTCAGCTCACACAGGTTATTCCACAGCTGCTGCCACAAGGAAACCTCAGCCCATTCCCCCCAGGGGATAAAATAATGGCATTTTGACTCCTGAAAAGCAGATTTTACACCACCACAGCCATCCCAGTGAGGTTTGTGCCCCCTGTTCTGGCCTTGGATTGTTCAGATCTGCTGTTTTCACCCAGGTGAGTGCTGGCAGCTGGTGCCCCTTTGCCCTTTGGAGGAGCCAGGCACACACAGGACTGCGCTGTGCCTGTGCACCCACCCAACAGGAGCACTCAGTCACCAGTTTGGGTGTGGAGGGGAGGCTGCAGCTGCCCTGGCAGCCCCATTGCTAAGTCATGCAGGTGCCTAGGGATGAGCAGGGCTCTGCAGTCGCTCAGGGCTGAGCTCTGAGCTCTGGCTCTGCCCCTGCCCTGGGGCTGCCCCTCGGTTCCTGCTCCTCCTCTGCAGCCCCTGGAGCTCTGGGGGAAGCTCCGAGGCTCCTCCTGCCCGGGGGGAGGCACCTGCCTGGTGATCCCTGCCTCGGAGGGGAAGCACCAGCTTAAGGTCCAGGTGCTATTTATGGCTCCGTGCCTCAATGGAGAGTCCCACTAATCCTATTGCACCCGTTCTACGTAGAGAGATCCCTAATCCCTCCCAAACTGCTGCTGGCCGTCACAGCAAATCCCCCGGAGGGTCCCAGGGAAAGGCTGTGGAAGCAGGAAGGGTTCAGAGGGAAACCTCCCTGGGGAGGAGCTCCTGCCAGAGCCTGGCCACCACCCTGGAGCCATCCAGAGCCATCCCTGATCCATCTCACAGCCATCCCAGAGCCATCCCGGAGCATTCCAGAGCCATCCCAGACCCACCCAGAGCCATCCAAGCACCAGGTATGTTTGCTGTGAGCTCTCAGCCCCGCGGGGACGCAGCCCCTGATGGCAGCAGCAGGATTGGCAGAGCAGGGATGGGATGGAGCATCATCCATGATGACACCACCGTGACCTGGTCACCCTCTGCAAGGAGCTGCAGCCCGCAGGAAGGGACGGGCTGGGACAGTGCCCTGCTGTGAGCTGTGAGCTGGGACACCCACCTGGGCGGTGTGGTCAGGAAGGAGGCCCTGCAGGGTGGCACTGTGTGGGCAGAGGCAGGGCCAGCACTGCAGGGTGGCTCTCAGGGCTCTCAGGCCATTGTGACCTCGGGGCCGTGGTGACCCCGGGGTGTCACAGGTGTGCTGGATGTCACAGGGGTGCACAGGAGCACATGGGGACAGGGTTTGAGGATTTACAGCCCTGGAGCAGCTGGGGCTCTGCAGGACACTGCTGGCGCTGCCACCCCAGCTGCAGCACGGGCCCCTGCCCCCTGTCCTGTTCCTCTATCCCCGTTTGCTGTTCTGAGGACACACCTGAGGGATTCTCCTCACACCCCTTCCTCCTCCAGGTCCAGCCCTCGCTGCACAAACCCCTCTGACACCCACGAGTGCAGCAGGAACCATCCACATGTGAGGGTGCAGCTGCTCCCCTGATGTGAAAGCAGATTGTTCTGGGTGTTTACTGTGTTGGGATCAAAGGCAGCCTCACAGTGTGCTGTGTTACATCACACCACTGCTCACACCGC